GAACAGAACTTTAGTCCAGTTCGTTGGACTAAAAGAATCGAAAATGTAGTCGAAATACTTCTGAAGAGAAAAAAAAGAAGAGAAACGAACGTGTACAAATTTTTGTGTACATTTATATTTGTTTGTGCTTTTTCGAGCTGTGAAGATCATAATTTACGTGAAAGTATGCCAATTGTAACTCTGTTGGTCTTCGAGACATTATTTTGCAAGATCTATTTGTCGAAGAAATGCAGAGGAGATCGACTATATTTATTATTTATTTTACGAGTCGCTAATTTTTTAATGTACGATTATTTATATCGTGAAGATACATTTATGAGCTATTTATTCAATTTATACGTTACGATAACACTTTTGTTACAAATCAGAATAAACGTCTTGTTGTTACTTTTGCAAACTAATATAAAACAGAGCTGTTTCTTTGCGACTCCTTAAATCAAGTGTTAAATGAGCAAAGAATTTCCAAGGAATAATTTATGAAACAGCTTTAAACGCGGTTCGCTTAATATTATTATATGCCAGCGAATATTCATGAAATATCTGCGCGCCGCTCTTTGTTCCTCTCTCTTCCTCTCTCTCTCTCTCTCTCTCTCTCTCTCTCTCTCTCTCTCTCTCTCTCTCTCTCTCTCTCTNTCTCTCTCTCTCTCTCTCTCTCTCTCTCTCTCTCTTTCTCGACTCGATCAGAGATTTAATACCCAGTTCTATCCAGTGTCTAGTCTTCTATCCAGTGTGTCTAGTTTACAACAGCAATATTCCTCCTCTATCGATTCCGCTGGACGCGATATTGTACAATTATGTACTTCGTTTAAGCTTTCGCATATCTCACGGCGCAGAATCTATAGAGTTCCAAGAAGAAGCATCTCAAAGTGAACGGACTTATTGCTTAATATCGCGGTGGTTCGCGGGTAAGTAAGCAGAGAGAGGTTTGTTAATTGTCCACCGAGTTTACAGTCCACCGTAAACTGGATGTTCGTTCGACTGGTACGAGGAAAAGAAGGACGAGAGCACCGAGTGACGGAATTACGACCGCGGCCGATGACGATTACTCTCTCTCTCTCTCTCTCTCTCTCTCTCTCTCTCTCTCTCTCTCTCTATCCTTTACGTGTATCGACAAGCCTTAACGCTCGCGTTAATTATTCGAACTGTTCGCAGGAGCATAAAGTCCAGGGTCCTGCAACGACGACGGTCGACTGACTCCCCGTTAATTAGTATTAGGCTTTAATTTGGTGCACCGAATGGAGGACCGCTCTCCACTTTCGCTTACGCGTGCACGCGCTCTCTCTCTCGTCCTCTCTCGTCCTCTCTCTCTCGTCCTCTCTCGTACTCTCTCTCTCTCTCATTCTCTCTCCTTCTTACTCTCTCTCTCGTCTTCTCTCATACTCTCTCTTATTCTCTCTCGTTCTCACTCTCTCTTGCTCTCTCTCTCGCTCTCTCTCATTCTCTCTCTCTCTCTCGTTCTGTCTCTCACGATCTCATTCTCCCGTTCTCTCTCCCACGATCTCATTCTTCCGTTCTCTCTCTCTCTCTCTCTCGTTCTGTCTCTCACGATCTCTTTCTCTCGTTCTCTGTCTCTCTCTCTCTCTCTCTCTCTCTCTCTCGTTCTCTTTATATCGTTCACTCTCTCTCGTTCCCTTTCTCTCGTTCACTCTCTCTCTCTCACTCTCTCATTCACTCTCTCTCTCACTCTCTCATTCACTCTCTCTCTCACTCTCTCACATTCTCTCTCTCTCTCTCTCTCTCTCCTCCCTTCTATCTCATTCTATCTCGGTATCGTTGACACCAGATTTACGGAACCCGTCGAAATATAATAATCACGGGTCACTAATCCTTTAATTTACGATCATCCATATCGCAATGATACATTTACGAATTATTTATTCAATCTACACGTTCCTCACGGCAAATGTTACGATAACACTTGTTAAAAATCAGATTAAAACGTCTTATTGCTACTTTCACAAACTAATATAAAACAGCTGTTTTTCTTCGCGCTCCGTGAATCTAGTGTTAATCGCGGAGAAAAAACCATTCAAATATGATGAACACGCGAAAACGTCGAGATTCCAGTGAACGGTGAAAATTCGTCCTGCGAACCGGCACGACGTGTCTACACGTTTCACGAGCCAACGGGCATGTCGGCCATTTCGTCCTGGCCGGATTTAGTCGGGAACCGTCGGCAGAATTACTCGGGATCGATCTAATATCGTTTCATTAGTCAGCGATATTTTTATCGGTATTATTTCTTCGGACCAGCGGCCATCAATTAGCTGTCGGTTTAATCGGAAAATTCTGTCAGCCTCGATGCAGAGCGAGTGAATTCATTTTTCTTTTTCTTTTTTTTTCGTCGGCTGATACGGTTATTAATTAATCTTCCGCGGAATATCCGCCGTTATAATGGATCGGTAATTTTAATTTCGATTTCACTTTTTCTTGATATCTCATCAACTTCGGAATACGGATTGTGCCGTCTGATTCACAACTGCGAAAGGTGTTAATTAAAACCGAGGCGTAGCAGCTTCGGCAAAGATTCAATGCGTGTTATGAAATAAGCATATCAAAACGAACGATTCATTGTTATTTAAATTGTAATTTCCGTATTTCATATTCTCTATGATAACTATGTGTGTGTAATAAACATTGCGTTACTAGGATATTCTAAATACATAATACAATAAATTTTTTAATTGTTCGTCAGCTTTTAACCCTTGTTTAACCCTATCGGGACATATGTTCGTACGCCTATCGGGAGAAATGAATCCCGTTTTACACACATATTTGTTTAAATGTAACCACATAACCTTTCAGTTTGGTGGTGAAGTCGCGTCAGCACTAATAAAATCAACATTTCTTGTTACTACTTACTTAAACAAAACTGGACAATTTCAGAAGAGATGTCGCGATAATTACGTTAACACCTGCAAAAGGGTGATCCCTGAGGTCGTTTGAAGTAACTTTCTCCTTAGCGAAAATGCAATCCGCGGCTTCGTTTACGAGTTATTAACGAAAAAGCGCTGACCAATCAGAGGCGAGATTAGCTGTCGCGCAGCGGCCGAGCCAACGAGCGGACGAAGCCCGGTGAAGCGCTAGGCGGCCGAGCCAATCAGCGGAACTGAGGTTCGACCGCTGGTTGGCTCTCGGTCGCCTCGCGTCAGCCTCGAGCTCGCCTCTCATTGGTCAGTGATCTTCGCTAGTAACTCGTAAACAAAGCCTCGGATCGCATTTTCGCTAAAGAAAAAGTTACTTCAAATTACTTACCCTGGAACACCGTTGATTATGGGACACTCTGCGGAGCATGCGCCGGCGAGAAAGAAAAATTGGTCGCTGGCAAAAAAAAGGAGCTCGCGTCGACGTGAAACAAGAATAGCGAGCTGCCGTAACGGGTAGCGCGCTGTTCGCAGCGCGACTTTGTAATTCAAACTCCTCGTACGTAAACGCGAACGCCTCGGCAGGCTTTACGACTGTGATAAACGGAATGAATGCGATCTGAAACATGTCCGCGCGCCGCGAACTTGGTTAGGCGACAGCGCGAAGAACTATGTCGGTGCCGGGCTCGATATGGAATATCGTTACCATTTATGCTTGCCGCGGATCGCGTCCTCGCGCTAACATTCCGGAACGTAAACAACATTTTAATGCTCGCTATACGAGCATATCACGATATATCACTGGATGCGTCAGCGCAATAAACTGCGCGGTCATAATGCGAGAATCGTCCGGAAAGCGGGAATCGAATAAAAGAGGTTAGAATGCCGTCTTCGATGGTGGAATATCATTTCAATGAAGCATTCGAAGCGTTTATAATTTTAATCGCATAATGCGTCGTCTTTCATTTCGTTTCATCTTTGTTCCGTTATTTTGTGTTCGTCCAATTGTTATGTTTTATTTAACGGCAATTGGTTGTTTGGTTATGGAATTCTCCCCTGTTGCGTTGTAATAATTATACGTCGTTTTAATTGAAGAAGCCTTTTCTTCAAACGATTTCATTATCTCGTTATCAAAGGTCGTAATTTGATGTATCGTTTTATATTATTTGCAAATAATTTTAATCAATTTCTGCGCAAGGCACGTGTGCTCTGCTCTCTCGTTTCATGTTCTCAAAATACAGCTGGGAAATGAACGATAATTATTTATTTCAAATTATCGTATTTTACGTTCGTTCCAAGGAAACAATGCCTCTCGTGCGACGTATAAGAAACAATTAATTTGATTTTAATGATCAAATCGTAAAATATATTCCATGCTGAAATGTTCTCAAGATTTCCAGATGGATAATTCTTGCGGAATAATGATACACGCACAAAATACAGAATAATTATTAGTTTAATTATTTTAGTAAATTGTGTGAAAGTTTAAACATTTGAACGTGTATTCAATAGTCTCAGTAGCAAGTATCATTTACTCGGTTTCCGATTTTCTCATTTTACAACTATAAAAATAATAAAAACACACTCGTGAAATATAATTGAAATAACTTACGTTATTGGCGCAGCTGCTGCAACATAACCTGTACGCGATCTAAACGAGTCGCGTCGCCTCATTTTTACAGGTCAACGTACACCAGTCAAATTTACCGTTGGCTAGTTTTAGTGTTAAACCTGCACAAAGACCCGCAGACCGTCCACCAGTAATTGAGGTGCCGTAATCTCCCATGCAATGCGTTCAACGTCAACCTGGGTCGCTTTAACCGGCCGAGAAAACGGCAACATTCGCCATGTTAGTCAACGCAGTGAGCTCACACGCTGATTGGCTAATAAGTCAACATTGTAGTTAACGAACTTACAAGGAGCATTAACCGACTAGTATCTACCACAACTAACGAAATTTTGCACGCAGGTTGTTCGTGGACCGATATTTCGCGCGCATTCTTTCCTAACCTTTATCTTGAGACAGTGAAAAACGTCCTGGAAGATGGAGGTAAAAAAATGCTGTTTAACCTAGTTTTAATTATTACTATTTTATATATTTGTATATATATTTTATATATTTGTATTACATAAGGTTGACGAAGTTGCCGCGAAGGAAGTCAAGCGAAAATGCGGTACAAAAAGAGTTCAATTTCGTTCTCGTCCCTCCGTGCAAGGTTAAAGAATTCCGAGCGAGCTAAAAGAGATAATTGTGAGGTTAGAATAGCTTTGAGTATGAAATTTTGACACGAATTCGATGCACACGTTATAATTAAATCCGTAGATCAACCGTGGCCTCGATTAAACAAAAGCAGAGAAGAAACTAGAGCAGACAGAAACATCAAAGAAGAAGAAGAAAAAACAGTTCAATCGATGTTGACTTGAACAGGACCAGTGTCGATATTGAAAAGTTGCATCGCTTATTCGTCCACAAGTTTCGTTTTAAATCGCGATCTCGGAGTCACTCCCAATCGAGTGAAATTAAAGCGAACGACGCGCGAGCATCGTTCTGAAATATATTAAAGAAAATTGCGACGTTTTCTTTTAACCAGTTAGCTGTGGCGTCTTCTTTTCAGAGCGCGCATCTATGTGTGACGCGAGAATCATGCGACGACAAGCATACTCGTCAAACACAGCTAATTGGTTAGCAGATACAGTAAATTTTTTCTAGTATAGTAAACGTAATTTGGGAAGAAGAGAAACGATTTTTATAGTTGTTGACGACTTTAAAAACGAGCGCAGCGAGGCTCGAATAATCGCATCTCCTCTTTCCAAATTGTCCATTTTTGTTTACAAGCTGAGGGACAGTTAGAAAGAATTTACTATAGTCCCGCAGCTTGGAATCAAAAATGGACAACTTAGGCAAACCAGACACGATTCTTCGAATCTCGCGGCACGCCTTTATAGTTGCCAATATCCCGTGAGAGTGATGCATCTAAAATTAAATATTTACCTAATCTCGTCTACTAAATTTAAGGAATCGCAGTGTAGAATCGTGTCTGGAACGCGGGTCGCGTAGAAGAGATAATGCGACAATCGAGCATGGTTGCGGCGAACAATCGTGAACGATACCTTGGACGTTTGTCAACGGTATTAATTAGCAGTCGGTATTGAAACTTCTACCAGCAGCCGCTAATTACTCGGTCAGAAGACGCTCCACTTGCTTACTACTTTTCGCGCAGAACTGTACGCCGGGCTGTCCGGCCCATTAGAAACAGCTCGTAGCCCGCATCCCCTAATTGGTTCCGTTCTATTCAAAGCGGCGCGCATCGTTTCGCCGTTCCCAAAAGCGATCCGGACCACGGTGAGCCGGAAGTCGGCGGAGGGATCAAGTGGAGTCGTCGGCCACCGCGCTGCATAGTCGAGCGGGCTTGAATGAATCGCGAATCCCGTCATTATTTCCGGATTATTATATCCCTGTGTAACTCGGACGCCGTCTTTAATCAAATGGAAGGTATTTGAATTAGTTTGTCAACGAAAAATACGGACCAATAATAGAACGAGCTATCGCATCGTTGAGTTCACCGTCGCGCCGAAATTCGTGGGCCGTGTTCGATCTTCGATTGGTCAGCGTTCTTCGTTAATGACTCGTTAACAAAGCCGCGGAGGATATTTCCGTCGAGGAAAAAAATTACTTAAATAAATTACTTCAGGAATTAGCCGTTTTATATTAGTTTATAGAAGTAGCAATAAGACGTTTATTCCGATTTTGAACAAGCGTTATCGTAACATATGATAACGTAATTGAATAAATCGCTCGTAAATGTATCTTCACGATGCGAATAATGGTAAATTAAGAAATTAGTGACCCGTCATTTCGACGGGCTCCGTAAATCTAGCGTTAAGTTCTCTGCGACCGGCGCGAAACAGCTCGCCGAAGTGGAACAAGTCGGTGTATAATCGGCCGGACAGAGAGCAGCGGGAACCGGTTAATTCCGTCCATTAACGGCGCGGTACCTTTGATTTAATGTTCGATGACTTTTCATGGTTATTCATACACTCTCGTCGCCGCGGATACATCGACCAGCTCGCGTTCTAGGATTATGTATATGCAGATATATTCCGTAACTTTGCTCGGGATCGGTCCGACTCCGTCGCTCGGCTCCATCGGAGACTTCGTAATGATTACGGAAAATTAATTGGGTTTCGCGGAGCACCTCGCGGAGCGCACTTCTCCCCACCCCCTCCCTCCGTCGAGTTTTTCCTCGTCGATGTAACGTTTAGGAACGCGTTTTGATCGCGCGGCCTCAATCGTTTTGCTCGTTGATACGTTCGATACGAATAAACATCGAGTCTCTGGTTCATCTTAAATGATGCAATTATGCTTTATTCTCTGCGCTATGCTAAATTCTCTGTAATTAGTACGCTTCTGCTTTACGTTACAACGACGTCTTTACGTTCTTCGGAGCAACAGCTTCACAATTAATTAATTCATTCATTCACATTTGATGTATAATTATATATATATATATATATATATATTATGTATATTATAATAATATATAGTATATAATATAATAATATATATAATATATAGTATATTATTATAATATATATATTAATTAATAGTATGTATTATTATAATATTATATTTATTGTATATATAATGTATACTACAATTTATTATATATATATAAAATTAAGAAATAACTGGAATGAAAATTACTTTTATCGTGAAACCAACAAGCAGAACAAATGATTAACATTAAAATTGAACAGAAAGCACGGATCAAATACGATTACTTGGTACGCGATTATCCGAAGTTGTTGCTACTGCAATCTTAATCCCATTTACAATTAGGACGGAGAATTAAGAAAATCCCACTTACTCCGAGAGAGGAGCGTTGGAATAACGGCTGTAAAAAGAACGAAACAATGTAAGCACAGATTTTGTTTTGAAAGCAAGAATTTTGCAATACGCTTGAACGTTCAATCGAGATTATGTCTCAAGAATGATACCAAGAGACATTGAAAGATTAGCGTCAAAACAACGAGTTCACAGAAATGCTCGAAAATCGTTTTCTTAAAATTCTGTAAGAAAAACGTGTCGTTCGTTAGACTCCAATGTTATACAGGGTGTCTCAAACTTACGGTATTTCCGGGAAATCAGGGATTCCTGAGCACATTTGAATGAACGAAATCACGCATAAAAAATACACGAAAAGGGGTAACTTGATTCCGGAAAGGGTACTTGATTCCTGAGATCATTTCAAGCAACTTTTTCCTCGGCGAAAATGTAATCCGCGGCTTCGTTTACAAGTTATCAACGAAAGATCACTGACCAATCGGAGAGCGAGTGCGGCCGGCGCTCCGCCCACGCAGCCAATGCCGCGTCGCGCTGGCTGTCTGACGTAGCGACAGTGGTCGCGTGGGCGGGGCATCAGCCGTGCGTGATCTCTCATTGGTCCAGTGTTTTTCGTCAATAACTCGCAAACGAAGCGGCGGATTGCATTTTGGCAAAGGAAAAAGTTACTTCAAATGACCTGAGGAATTACTTCTCGGAATTACTATAATTTGCATTTACATTACATATCATAATTTTCAATTACCCTGTATAATACGCAGTCAGACACGGTTTTCTCACGACAAAGTGGAGCACCGTTGTTGTTTTAACAGCGCTACGAATCCCTTTTAACTGTACGCCGATGCTGCCTAATTCGGTAACGACGAGACGGTTTCGTGTTCTCCTTTGAATCCGCAGCCTCGCAGCGAAGAAACGTCTCTCTCTCTCTCTCTCTCTCTCTCCCATTCTCATTGATTACGACCCGTCGCAAACAACCGAGTCGAGCAAGTCGAATTAAGCGACGGAAGAGTAGACCATAGTCAGCCATATCATGCCCGGTCGATTCGACCTATTCGAGCTATTTCCATAGTTCCGGGCGCGGGGTTGGACCCGCGGAGGACTTCATCGTCGACTCGATTTACCGAGAGAGGAAGAGACAGAGAGAGACGTCGACGGGAATATATAATTTAATCAACCGTCATTCGCGAAACCGGCGAACAGGCGGGAAAAGGAGAAACCTGTCGGCGTTGCCGCGCGCGCGAGAAGCTGCGTCCTCTCGCTTCTTTTTAATTCAACGCTAGCCCGGGGTTTCTGCGACGGGTCGATCAGACATGGAAACGAACGGCGGGACGTCGTCTCCGCCGTTGCAGTGTCTCTCGTTTTTCTGTGAGAACCAGGCCGATGGCGAAATTTACGCCGCGGCAGTCCGGCTGAAACGATCGCGGGGGTTCGTGGCAGGGCGGGAGAGGGGGGAGGGGGAGAATGAATTTCGCGGGATTAAGCACGGGGATTTACGGGTCTGTTTTCGGCGGAGTACGGGTTGGTTCCCTGGCTCCGTAACAAAGGGTCTCGTAATTACGGTCATGTTTTTAAGAGCGGCTCGGCCCATCCCGAACCCGGATCCCTTGACCATCTTTTCTCTTTACCCTGACCCAGCTTCCCACGCTCTCTTTACGGCTTCCCTTTTTCAATGTTACGTCGCGACCCGTGACGGGCCGGGCCGGACCGGGTCTCGGGTCTCGCGTGATTTGCTATCTAACAGGCCGTGTCACGGCGCGAAACAAATTTTCACGCTTTCCACAGTCCTTCTAGGGGAACCGAAGGAGTATTTTAACGGTTTCGATGGCTCTGCCACGGATCTCGGGGAGAATCGTGGAATAGCGAAAATATAGGTCGCTGTTAGGGGAAGCGTATACAGTTACGATTGGACTGCGGATCTTTACGCGTTTATGGCATTTTTCAAATGCATGGCGTGTAAACTGGCAGGGTGATATTATTATAATTATTATATAATAGTATATAATATAATATAATATAATATAATATAATGTAATATAATATAATATAATATAATATAATATAATATAATATAATATAATATAATATAATAATATATAATGTAATATAATATAATATAATATAATAATATATAATGTAATATATAATGATATATTATTATTAAACTGGCATTTTGACATTATTTTTTTGTAGTATCACGTCTAACAGTGAAAATTTGCATGAAATCAACGCAGTCTAATTTGTGATTTATATTGCTCGCTAGAAAATTCGAATTTAGATGGACTATTTGCATCGATGGACTGTTTGTACGTGATTGTGAACCGAAATCCGTGGACTAAACGATTGAAACAGGACGAGAAGATATTTACTAAAAACATTGTACAATTTCACGTATTTTTACGAAACCTCGACTGTTTGATACCAGTAAATATGGACACTGGGAATTATTGTTCCAGTTCTGAATATTGAAAAATATTTTATTTCTTTTTGCGTATAATGCGATACATAATATATTATATTATTGTTATTATATTATATTATTATTATTTGATATTATAATATAATATATATAATATATAATATAATATAATATAATATTACATATATAATATAATACAATATGATATATTATATTATATTATATTACACAATATATTTTACAATACATATATATATAATATAAATAAAATAAATAAGTGTATATATATATAATATATGTGTGCGTAAA